AGGGACAATTTGTAACATCAACAATGCATTTGGCCCAGGAACTGCTAATGAACGCAGAGCACAGTGGAGATTTAAAAGTTCTGCAAAGGAGAGGAGGACCTTGAAGATGAGGAGCATAGTGGCCAGCCATGGGAAGTTGACAACAGCCAACTGAGAGTAATCATCAAAGCTGATCCTCTGACAAGTACACAAGAAGTTGCCTTTACTCAGCATCGACCATTCTACAACTATTGGAACAGTTGATGCAAACTGGAAAGGCTTGGGCTCAGTGCCTGTAGCTCAAGCAGTTAAAGCTCCAGCCACAAACACCAGAGCTAGTGGGTTTGACTCCAGCCTGGGCCTGCCAAACAACAATGACAACTACAACCAAAAAAAAGCCCGGTGTTATGGCAGGCACCTGTAGTCCCAGCTACTAGGGAGGCTGAGGCAAGAGAACCACTTAAGCGAGGAGTTTGAGGTTGCTGTGAGCTGTGACGCCACGGCACTCTATCCAGGGCGACAGCTTGAATCTTCGTCTCAAAAAAAAAAAAAAAAAAGTTCGATGAGTGCATGCCTCATGAGCTGACCAAAAATCACAGCAATTGTCATTTTCGAGTGCCATCTTCTCTTATTCTATACAACAACAACAAACCATTTCTCTAACTCATTATGATGTGCGATGAAAAGTGGATTTCATACCACAACTGGCAATGACCACCTCAGGGCTGGACTGACAGAAATCTACCAAGCACTACCAAAGCCAAACTTGCACCAAAAAAAGGTCAAGATCACTGTTCAGTGACCTGCTGGTGGTCTGATATCATTCTCAGGTATAATATAAACCATTATGTCTGAGAAGTCTGCTCAGCAAATTGACGAGGGGCACGAAAAACTGCAAGGCCTGCAGCTGGCACTGGTCAACAGAAAGGGCCTGATTTGTCGCACAACCAACACTTGAAAAGTTGAACAAACTGGGCTAGGAAGTTTTGCTTCCTTGGCCATATTCACCTGACCTTGTGCCAACTGACTGCCCCTTCTTCAAGCATCTCGACAACTATTTAGCATAGAAAACACTTCTATAACCAGAAGGATGCAGAAAATGCTTTTCAGCCAGGCTGGGTGGTTCACACCTGTAATCCTAGCATTCTGGGAGGCTGAGGTGGGTAGGCTGCTTGAGCTCAGGAGTTCGAGACCAGCCTAAGCAAGAGTAAGACCCCTATTTCTACTAAAAACAAAAAAAAAAAGAAAGAAAGAAAAGAAAAAAAAATAGAAATCTAGCAGGCGTTGTGACAGGCACCTGTAGTCCCAGCTACTTGGGAAGCAGAGGCAAGATGATTATTGGAGCCCAGGAGTCTAAGGTTGCTATAAGCTATGATGATGCCATGGTACTCTACCCAGGGTGACAGAGTAAGACTCTGTCTCAAAAACAAAAGCCAAGAAAACGCTTTCCAAGAGCTTACGGAATTTTTATGGATTCCACAGCATGGATTTTTATGCTATAGGAAGAAAGAAACTTATCTCTCATTGGCAACAATGTGTTGATCATAATGGTGCCTATTTTGATTAATAAAGATGTGTTAAGTCTAGTTATAATGATTTAAAATTTATGGGTCCGAATCACAATTACTTTTGCCCCAAGCTAACATCACAAGAATGGAAAAGCAAGCATCCCATGGACTCAATAATAAATTGAAATTAGTAGATTAACAACCACGGGTCCACATTAAAGAAAAACATAATCAAATTCAAGAAGGGGGAAGGAAGAGAAGGGGTTTCTTAAGTTCCCACCTAAGGGGTACAATGTACGGGTATATGGTGCACTTCCTTGGTGAAGGACACAACTACAACTCAGACTTTACCTTATAAACACAAACAATGTAACTTAATTATATGTACTCTCACATTAATCCAAAATTTCAAAATGTAAACCAAACTTTTTATCATTAGCATTAAAGCTAATTTAATAAGCTTTGTACAGAGAAAAATTATTTTTATTTTTATTTATTATTATTTTTAGAGACAGAGTCTTACTGTATTACCCTAGGTAGAGTGCTGTGGAGTCACAGCTCATAGCAACCTCCAACTCTGGGGCTTAGGCAATTCTCTTGCCTCAGCCTCCCAAGTAGCTGGGACTACAGGTGCCTGCCACAACACCTGGCTATTTTTTTGTTGCAGTTTGGCCAGAGCCAAGTTTGAACCCGCCACCCTCAGTATATAGGGCTGGCATCCTACCCATTGAGCCATGGGCACCACCCACAAAGAAAAATATTTTTTAAATATTTTTTTTTGAGACAGAGTCTCAAGCTGTCGCCCTCAGTAGAGTGCCATAGCATCATAGCTCACAGCAACCTCAAACTCTTTGGCTTAAGTGATTCTCTTGCTTCAGCCTCCCAGGTAGCTAGGACTACAGGCGCCCAGCTATTTTTTGATGCAGTTGTCATTGTGTTTAGCTGGCCTGGGCTGGGTTCGAACCTGCCAACCTTGGTGTATGTGGCTGGTGCCACAAACACTGTGCTACAGGTGCTGAGCCCAAATAAAAATAATTTATTAGTTTTAAAATTTATTATTACTAACTAAAAAAAGTGGTTTCTTCCTACCTCTTTAAAGATTGTTCTAATCACTCATACTTCATGTTTACTTCATTCTGGGTCATCCAACTTCATGGGTTAAGGCTGTCCGTGTGTGTACATGTGCTAACATTTAAAAATCTGTTTATGCACAGAATCACTTTCAGATTCCAAGCTCTCATAATAGGCATTAGCACACATGTAAAATACACTTTTAATTAGAGGTTATCTCAGTAATGGCTCAATATGGAGAAATCTATCCACATCAAGACAGACCACTACTGTACCTGAATATTAATTTTTTTGTTGTTGAAACTATATAAAGTTCAAAGTACCTAATATCACAAGTAATCAAAAGGAGAAATGTTTTAATTATGATAAACATGACATGGAATATAACTCATCTTACTCTTAACACTTTACTAATCTAGATTCAAATTATGTTTGAATTAGCCACAAGTCAGATTCCCAAATCAAGATTCTTCATATCAGCTTATCTAATTTAAACTCTTGCTGCATTCTGAAATGACACAAGTTATTTGGCTAGACTTTGACTGAGACTACAGGTGACCTGCCACAATGCTTGGCTATTTTTTGTTGTTGTTGTTGTTGTCATCATTGTTGTTTAGCAGGTCTAAGCTGGATTTGAACCCTCCAGCCCCGGTGTATGTGGCTGATGCCCTACCTGCTGTGCTACAGGCACCAAGCCTATACATTTTCATTTTCTCAATGTTTAAATGAAAGTGTTCAGAACAAAAGAACATATTAGAAGAACTAAGAATTTCCCTTTGGCTAAAATGGACAAGTAGGGCCTCAGCGCCTGTGGCTCAAGTGGCTAAAGCGCCAGCCACATACACCTAAGGTAGTGGGTTCGAATCCAGCCTGGGCCCACCAAACAACAATGACGGCTGCAATCAAAAAATAGCTGGGTGTTGTGGTGGGCGCCTGTGGTCCCAGCTACTTGGGAGCCTGAGGCAGAAGACTTGCTTGAGCCCAGGAGTTGGAGGTTGCTGTGAGCTGTGATGTCACAGTACTCTACCCAGGGCGACAGCTTGAGGCTCTGTCTCAAAAATAAAATAAAATAAAATAAAGTAAAATAAAATGGACAAGTAGGAAAATATATATGAAAATACACTCTGCTGTCTGTGGCCAATGATCTTACTGTATCTAGAATTTGTTGAATTTGTTATATTTGTGGATACTATATATAGTGAAGTGCTACTAAAAGGGTGATTGATTAGACTTTAATGTTAGTTAAAGGCCTGTCTTTTTATGCCTTATTCTTATTCTTGTAGGTTTTTTGATTTGTTGACTGACAAAAAATATCTTTCTTTCTACTACTTTTACCCAACGAAACACTGAAAATCCTGGGTTAGAACATCTTTAAAATCACCTTCTGTTCAAAAAGTAAAAGATCCTTGTTTACTGCTTTGTACATAAGAAAGATTATCTCACAGATCTCTCCAAGCAGCTTTCACCCCTGTCTCCTGGCTATCTGGACATCTCCACTTTTTCTGGTCTTTCTGAGGCCTCTCCCATTAGCCAGTCTCCATAATAGTCCCAAATATAAATTCTTCCTATTTATGACTAGATGAATGATTTGTACAGGGGCATCTTAGAAATGTGAGATACATCAAAGTGTATCTTTTGGAATTCTAGATGTAATTCACTAGCTTTTGCCTTCCCATTTTATGTAAATTCATTTTGGTTAAAATGTAAAGAAAAATTAATCATATCATTCTAAAGAAATGTACTGCAGTGAGTAAACATTGTATCTTGATGAGTTAGTTGTATAGAAACCATCAGACTATTAACACATGGCTGCCAAAGTTAAGGTACGTGATTTGTCTAAAAAAGCTCCCATTTTCTCTTTCCCTTATTTCTTCAGGAGTTTTATAACCAGAGCTATACTCTCACTTAAAAAGAATGACTTTTTTTTCTCCTGCAGTTTTCAGCCGGGGTTGGGTTTGAACCTGCCAAACCGCAACCTCCAGCATATGGGGCTGGCGCTCTACTCCTTTGAGCCACAGGCACTGCCCAAGAATGACCTTTCTTAACAGAAAGATTTTACTAGTTAAGTGTAGTCTAGGTTTATTTCCAACCGTAGAACACATGAATATTGTAGACTTAGTTTCTGATTGCTAAGTAGATTGAAAATTACATGCTTTTGGCCTGTGTCCTGGAAAAACGAGTGCAGATAACCTATTTTGGTATTTCAAACACTGGAGAAAAATGCAGAAGAGGGATTGAGGCCTTCAGGAAGCAGGAGAAAGGAGTGGGTAAATATGGAGTAACAGAAATGATTGTGACACTGCCTTCTTTTGTGATCTGAAGTATAGAATTGTTCCTTATTACTCCTGATTAAAGAAAGGAAAACAGTTTAAATTCTCTAATAACAATGTTTAAACAGTGTATAAATAAATATACCTTTTTAGCATTTGCTTGATCAAAGCCCCAGTGAATTTCCACACCTATAAAATAAGTTAAGAGAATAGCAACACATAAATCAAATACTAATCAGTTCACCAACAGTTGGTATTAATTTACTAGTATGTTGAACAAAATTTTTAGTAAATTCCAGTTCTGAGTAGATGTTCACTTTTATTATTAATAAAAAATTAATAATATCTCATTAAAGCAAATTAATAATTTTAGCTCCTTTACATACAAAGTCGTTTTCTTATTTATCATCTTCCTTACTCAGCAATTTTATCCTGCAGTAAGATTTGAAAAATCTAATGTTCGACAGCAAGTTAATCTCAACTGAGATGAAAAAAATATACTTGGCTTGGTGCTCGTAGCACAGTGGTGATAGCACAGGCCACATGAACCCAGGCTGGCAGGTTCAATCCCAGCCCAGGCCAGCTAAACAATGATAACTACAATAAAAAAACAGCCAGGTGTTGCAGCGGGCACAGCTACCATAGTCCCAGCTACTTGGGAGGCTGAAACAAGAGAATTGCTTAAGGCCAAGAGTTTGAGGTTGCTGTGAGCTATGACACCATGGCACTCTACCAAGGGTGACATAATAAGACCATGTCTCAAAAACAAACAAACAAAAAACAAAAAATATATACTCATGATAAGTCTGTACTGGACATTTCTTGAAGAGTATCTGGAAACCAATGTTTCTTTCTTTCTTTCTTTTTTTTAGAGATAAAGTTTCACTTTGTCACCCTCGGTACAGTGCCATGGTGTCACAGCTCACAGCAATCCAGCTCTTGGGCTTAGGTGATTCTCTTGCCTCAGCCTCCCAAGTAGCTGGGACCACAGGTACCTGCCACAACGCTTGGCTATTTTTTGTTGCAATTTGGCTGGGGCCGGTTTGAACCTGCCATCCCCTTATTTGGGGCCGGCGCCCTACTCACTGAGCCACAGGCGCCACCCTGGAAACCAATGTTTCATCTGGGTTTGGGGCTATTAAATAATTCTAAGAGTTGTCCTATCAGTATTACCAGAAATAAACAGTTTTGTCCCTATGTATTATATACCTATGAAACCAATTTGAGAATAATCTCAAGAATTCTAGATAATTCAGGAAAAAATCCATTTCTTAAAATTCTTATTTAGATTTTCTATAGAGAATCTCAAGTTGTCAAATAATTTTTATCTTTAAATTACATTTTTCTGCTTTGTTCAAACATACAGACTTAATTCCTATAGAAATCAACTAATTCAGAACAATTCCTCCCTTTTTTTTGTTGGAAAGGGAAGAGAGGAATGCTTAAGAGAAAATACCCGAACCTTGAGCTGTGCACAGAATAGCAATTAGCATTTAAACACAAGTGGCTCTAGTTTCTGGCCCAGATATCTTTAAATAGAACTCATAAATTCTTAGCAAATTTAGGCAAATTCAAAAGTTGATCCCCAAACCAAGTATCAACTACTGATTTATATATATATACACAAACACATCTCTATACCCACCCAGACTGTGCAATGATTATGAGGTAAATGTTATCTTGTGTTTCCTTACTCTCAGAAGTCAGTCTGTGTGTACCTTTGATAAAGACTATCACAACTAGGTCAAATTAAGAGATTGTTAGCCCTAGTAAAGCAAGTGTTCCTTTCCATTGGATAAATAAAATCAATCCTAAGCCAATGTGTGGATTTAGGTCAATTCAAGATACGAGAATCTAGTTTGTGTCTAGCACTGCGCTCACAAATAATTGAATTCAGATCCAATTTTAAACTGTGAGGTTGGCTAAGATTAGAATCAAACAAGAACTCCAAGACTGATACTAAAATAGATTCAAATTCTCAGCATTTCTCTAGCAGGAAACACAAGTGCAAATTTTAAATAGAACCTCTCATGACCAATTTGGTCTAGAATTATACCTTACTGAATACAAAGGAGAAGGCAATACACCTGGGCATTTTTTTTTTTTTTTGCATGAGTTTTAGGTAATCCTTACCAACCTAACAGATAAGGGCAAGGAATAGAGGAGGACAGGGTACAAAGTCTGAAAGAGATGTATAATATCATAATTGATCTATAGCAAAACCATAGTAGTGTAACAAGGTTATTTTTCCTTTAGAATGTAGAAATGCTATACAAAGAGGTTACTATCAGCCTTAAAGATGGTACGAATTAATGAGGGTCCTCTAAAGACTAATACCAGAGAACAAAAAAATCTAAGAACATCCTGGTTCAGCGCCTGTGGATCACTGGTTAGGGCACTGGCCACATATACTAGAGCTGGCAGGTTCAAACCCGGCCTGGGCCAGCTAAACAACAATGACAACTGCAACCAAAAATAGCCAGGTGTGGCAGGCGCCTGTAGTCCCAGCTACCTAGGAAGCTGAGGCAAGGGAATCACTTAAGCCCAAGAGTTTGAGGTTGCTATGAGCTGTGATGCCACAGCACTCTACCAAGGGCAACATCATAAGACTCTATCACAAAAAAATAAAACAAAAAGCCTCCCCCCCAAAACTACGAACATCCTGGCGGTGCCTGTGGCTCAAAGGAGTAAGGCACCAGCCCCATATGCCGGAAGTGGTGGGTTAAATCCCAGTCTCAGCCAAAAACTCCAAAACTGCAAAACAAACAAACAAAAAACATGGCCACAAAATTCTCTGGGTGGTGCCTGTGGCTCAGTGAATGCGGTGTCAGCCCCATATACCGAGGGTGGTAAGTTCGAACTTAGGCCTGGCCAAGCTGCAACAACAACAATAAATAAATAAATAAATAATAAATAAAAAAACTACGAACATCCTGACCATCATGGCCCATATTCATAGTAGTGAATTGCCGCATGCTACATTCACATTACTCCATTTGCTCAAACTTAACCTTGAATGTAGAACAACACAGACAAGAAGGGCTAGCCAAGAACAGGTTTATCTTTAAAGATATTATATTTAACAAGGTATTATGCAAAGCAGTTTTTATACACTTCAGATATATTTTCACCCCAATTGTCTCAAAATCTAATTTAGTTATTGATCACCACTTTTAAAAAATCACATATTTGCATCATTAAATTTTCAACATGTCCAGTTTCCTAATAGAACCACCAAGACTCTATTTACCCACCCTAAGATTTCAGAAACCACTTGAAACGTCAAGTTTCTTTGGCTAGAATTATGGCAACTAGAGATTATTCCATGCTTATTAGAACTTCAGATGGGCAAAACACTACAGAGGGTGCCAAAAAACATACATGCACATTTAAGAAAGGAAAAAACTACATTAAAATCATAATACTCAATAAATAGCAACAACAAAAGATGGATACAAGTCACATTTGACTTCTGCGATTCTAAGAGGTACTCAAAATATGTAATACAACATATAATACACAGATAATATCACTTACAATGTCTATACCTTTTTTCTATCCCCAGTATTTGACTTTGATGAAAGAAAAAGAAATAAAAGAGGCATCTGATGATAAAAAAATTAGGAAAGGTTAATGCAGGGGTCCTCAAACTTTTTAAACAGGGGGCCGGTTCACTGTCCCTCAGACCACTGGAGGGCCGGACTGCGGGCCGGGACAAGTTGAGTGCTAAGCAGGACAGGCACAGCGGCAGCAAAAACATGCAGGGTGGGCGGGATAAATGTCCTCGGAGTGCTGCATGTGGCCCTCAGGCCATAGTTTGAGGACCCCTGGTTAATGTGTCAGACTAAACAATATGGTTCTATAACTAAAAAGGAATATTATCTTCTCCTAACCTTAGGGGAAAAAATTTCAATTTTTCTAGTGTTTGTTTCCTTTGCCATAAAACTTCTGGCTACTCATAGTCCCCAAACGCCACTCCCCCCAGAAAAAGTTAAGTAGACATCACACCTGGCATACCAAACTGCCCTATGGAGCCTACTCACGTTTCTCCCCAGACTTGACACGTAAACTTAAGGTTATTCAGTTTTATCCTGTAAACATGTAGTGTCTTTTAGGAAATGAATGCATTATTTTATTTAAATAGTGAAAATCCTATAGATTTATGATACAGTTATGCTTTCTGTCAGCAAAATTGCTTGTTTTATTAAAAATTAGAATTAAGGGCAGCACCTGTGGCTCAGTGAGTAGGGCGCCGGCCCCATATACCACTGGTGGTGGGTTCAAACCCGACCCTGGCCAAACTGCAACCAAAAAATAGCTGGGCACTGTGGCAGGTACCTGTAGTCCCATCTTCTGGGGAGGCGCAGGCAAGACAATCACCTAAGCCCAAGAGCTGGAGATTGCTGTGAGCAATCTATCAAGAGTGACAAAGTGAGACTCCGTCTCAAAAAAAAAAAAAGAAAAAAAAATTAGAATTAAATCTGCAAGGATACCACCAGGTGCTCTGGCACTTCAACAAATTTGAGATCTAGTATCTAGATGACTTCTCTATGCACAAGAACACTTGTAAGTCAGTAACTTATTTATCTTAATGGTGACTCAAAGCATAACAGCAACTTTTAGAGAAGAGTAAAGTCATCAATTTTAAGTCTTTAAGAAGGGCTGAATTTTGGGCAGTGCCTGTGGCTCAAAGGAGTAGGGCGCTGGCCGCATACACCAGAGGTAGCAGGTTCAAATCCAGCCCCGGCCAAAAACTGCAAAACAAAACAAAAAAACCCCTACTGATATGGCAAGCAAAATACACCAATATATTTAAAGAGGCAAAAAAAAAAAAAAAAAAAGGGCCAAATTTTGAAAAATTACAGCTCCTGGGTGATGAATTTAGGCAGATGACAAATTATTTTACTGAAAAAGTTT